CCTTGACCATGTCTTTCACGAGGGGCAGTAAGAAAATTTTTCTGCGAGGCGATCCAACACTAGCGCGAATGGAGGTGTCACTCAAGCGACTCTCCAGAWCTTGGCAAGACACGGATGAGGGGTACTTCGTGGAGTTGCGGGCCCTAACTGCTCATGGGGTAGAAACTGTGGGGGATCTAGAGATCAGAGATGTGCAACTACCGACCGAAATACATCAGCTCCTTAATGAGTACACTGATATATTTCAAGGTACAGAGCAGATGCCCCCACAGCGTGCGATTGACCATAGGATCCGCATAAAGGAAGGGGTTCCCCAGTGAATGTAAGGCCTTATCGTTATGCCCATGTGCAAAAGGCAGAGATCGAGAAAATGATTGAGGAAATGATCCAAAAGGGGATAATTCAACCAAGCGTGAGCCCATTCTCTAGTCCTGTGATATTGGTGAAGAGGAACAATGGGAGTTGGAGGTTCTGTGTCAATTACAGGGCCCTGAACAATGTCACAGTACCAGACAAATTTCCTATCCTGTTATAGATGAACTGCTGTTATAGATGAACTGCTGGATGAGCTACATGGATCACGTGTCTATTCTAAGATTGATTTGAAGTCCGGGTACCATCAGATTCGAATGGCTCCTGAAGATGTGCAAAAGACAGCATTTAGAACGCACGAGGGACATTATGAGTTCCTTGTCATGCCATTTGGGTTAACAAATGCCCCAGCTACATTCCAAGCCCTCATGAATCAAGTATTTCAACCGTTTCTACGTAAGTTTGTCTTGGTTTTCTTTGATGATATTCTGATTTATAGCTCGGACTTAGACTCACACATTACTCATTTAACTATGGTCTTCAACCTCTTGCGAGATCACTCGTTGTATGCTAATTTTAAGAAGTGCAGTTTCGCTCAAGCAAAGGTTGAGTACTTAGGCCACTGGGTGTCTGAAGAAGGTGTGGAAGCCGACCCTGAGAAAATCCAGGCTATGCTTCAACGGCCCGTGCCTACTAATGTAAAGGAGCTGCGAGGGTTCTTGGGCCTCGTCGGGTATTACCGCAAATTTGTACTGAATTATGGTAGTCTGGCAGCACCACTCACCCAACTTCTCAAGAAGGAGGCTTTTGAATGGAGTGAACAGGCAACARCAGCTTTCCAAAAGCTYAAATCCGCAATGGTTACATTGCCAGTACTYGCCCTACCAGATTTCAATTTGCCGTTTGTTATAGAGACGGATGCCTCAGGAACTGGCCTTGGAGCGGTCCTTATGCAAAAGCAACGCCCCATTGCCTATTTTAGCCATACACTCTCCCGACAAGGGCAGGCAAAATCTATTTATGAAAGGGAGCTAATGGCAGTAACCTTGGCAATTCAAAAATGGAGACCATATCTCCTAGGACAGAGATTTGTTGTGCGTACGGACCAACAGGCTTTGAAGTATTTGTTGGAGCAACGAATCGTGCAGCCAGAGTACCAGAAGTGGGTTTCGAAACTCTTGGGGTATGACTTTGAGATACAGTACAAGCCAGGCCTGGAAAATAAGGCAGCAGATGCCCTGTCGTGCATGCCCATAGGACCACACCTTGGTCCTAGCGGTCATGACAGTGCCATCGTTACTAGATGTAGAGATTTTGAAAGCAGAGGTGCAGGCAGACCCGGAGTTGTCCAAAAGCATTTCTGATATGCAAGTAGGGATCCATACGCCACCACACTTCAGTTTACAACATGGTGTGCTCCACTACAAAAATAGGATGGTCATTTCYAGTCATTCCTCASTRAAGCCTGCTATCCTACACCTATATCACAACTCCATAATGGGAGGACACTCGGGATTTCTTAGGACTTACAAGAGGATATCAGGCGAGCTGTATTGGCAAGGTATGAAGGCTGATGTGAAACATTTCGTGGAAGAGTGCTACGTTTGCCAACGAAACAAGTCTTTGACCACGGCACCGGCGGGGTTATTACAACCTTTGGCAATTCCAGAGCAGATTTGGGAGGATATTACTATGGATTTCGTCGAAGGCTTACCTAAGTCTGCGGGGCAGGATACCATATTCGTCATGGTGGATAGACTGAGCAAGTATGCTCATTTCATTCCCCTCAAGCATCCTTTCACGGTGAAATCTGTGGCTGCAGCCTTTATTCGCGAGGTGGTAAGACTGCATGGATTTCCCCAATCCATCATATCAGATCGCGACAGGGTCTTCCTCAGCAATTTTTGGACCGAGCTCTTTCGTATCCAGGGTACTAAATTGAAGAGGAGCACAGCCTACCACCCCCAAACGGATGGACAGACTGAGATAGTGAATAAATGTCTAGAAACCTACCTCCGTTGCTTTTGCAGTGAAGCACCTAAGACGTAGGGGCAGTGGTTGTCATGGGTTGAATACTGGTATAACACGACCTTTCATGGGTCGCTTGGCACAACGCCCTTCCAAGCTGTCTATGGCCGCACCCCACCTCCACTTTTGTTTTATGGCAGTCAGAAGACTTCTAACGCCACATTGGATCAGCAATTGGCTGACCGTGACTCAGCTTTAGCAGCCTTGAAAGACAATTTGTTGAAGGCACAAAACCGGATGAAGAAACAGGCGGACACTCACCGCAAAGAAGTGGAATTTCAGGTCGGGGATATGGTTTTCCTCAAGCTTAGMCCTTATCGACAGAAATCCTTGGCCAAGAGGAGGAATGAGAAATTGGCTGCCAAGTACTTCGGGCCCTATAAAATACTCCAGAGGATGGGAATAGTGGCATACCGTTTAGAGCTACCAGCAGAAACAGTAATCCATCCAGTCTTCCAGGTCTCTCAACTAAAAAAGGCTGTGGGAACCAACATTCCAATCCACCYGACTCCCCAACAGCTCACAGAAGACTGGGAATGGCGTGCCGAACCGGAGGAGGTCTTTGCCACTGGAATCAACGGGGACACGGGACTGCCCGAGGCATTGATCCATTGGAAAGGCCTGCCAGAGGAGGAAGCTACATGGAAAACGCTCTTTGATATGCAGAACCAGTTTCCAGATTTCCCCCTTGAGGACAAGGTGGAGCTTACGGGGGAGGTAGTTGTTAGGCCTCCCATTGTGAAGACTTATCATAGGAAGGGTAGTGACAGTGCCATCGTTACTAGATGTAGAGATTTTGAAAGCAGAGGTGCA